GTGCCTTTTTACCAAATAAATTATTTGTACAACAGGAAAAGAATAAAAAAAAAATATAATTTAATAAATATGAATATTAGTATCTTAACATCATGAATAGTGAATACAAACTGTTGGAGTCAGGAATTGAATTAAAAATAAATAAATAAATAAATTTGATATTTAACGATATTTCCCTCTTTCTTTCTTATTTTTTTTTTTTTTTAGATATCCAGGATCGAATGCTTCGGTTATAGTTGTAATTTTTTACATATTGTAAAATGTTCATTTTATCATTTATTATTATTGTAAAAACAATGCTGGGTGGCACGCTTCCTTTTGCTTCTGACGCTCTTCTTTGTACTGCCGATCATTCTGGTGGTGGTGGTACGTTTTACTTCTGCTGTTGATTTTTATGGTAGTGATGGTAGTGCGCTTCCTTTGTTTCTGATGGTGGAGGTACTGCTGTATGAAGAAATGAAGATGATGGTTACAGGAGTTATTCGTTAGTATTTAAAGTATGATACGAATATTAATTTAGAAAATTACTAAAAGTACATAATGAATTACCACTTTGAGTAAAGAAAACTCCCTTAATTTATCAAATCAGTAGAAATAACTTAAATTGTACAATTTTATAAGATATTTGAATATTCCGATATTCATTCAAAATGGCTTCGATAGAATATTTAAACTTCAAACGAAAACTATAATTATAATATTTTAATTATACAAGGCGTATTATACAACTCATATGAACAAAGTGCTCACAATCAATATATAAATCCATAATGAATTTTATGAAATTACATTAGTCTATTATATATTTTTAACTGAACTATCAAACAATTCTCTAGTTCAACTTCTTTTGAATAAACAAGGGAAATAGAACATCACATACTTCTTTGCGCACTCTATAAATTCTAGTTTAAGAGGCGTAATAATTATTAAAATAATTTAATTTATTTATGTTTTTAACGAAATGCTTTTTATTAATTAACGATCTGGTTAAGTTGAAAGTCTTGCACATCATACAAAGATTCATTTCCCTAATATATATAAGCCATTTAAGCTTCCATTGTAGTTTAGCACTTGTCGGACGGACGAGTTAATAGTCGTGAAATTTTATACTTTTTATCTAATATATATTTTAAGTCCGTTCGGTTCGCGTTCTGAAATCGTAATGATGCATGTAATCATAATAAATTGATACTGTACAGTTAAATTTAATCATCCCTTTTCTGTCCTCTTTGATGGTTATTTCGATTCTAATAAATACCCACAAATCTTAGATCATTTCGACATTGGACAAATAAAAAAAAACTCCTATTACTCCGGAATTTGTACTACATTGCTGCATTATAAACGATAATCATTATCCTTTTTTTTTTCTTCCTATAATTCTATAACAATGTCACTGTTGTACCCCAAATGCGTTAATGTCCGAAATGCGCATTTGGGATATCCCAAATGCGAAGATCGTTTGGGATATTCGCTTACCCCAAATGCGCATTTCGGGTATATCCCAAATGCACATTTCGGATATCCAAATTCTAATATAAAGTATAAATATTAAATATAAATAAAATTTAAATTACAAGTCTGTCATTTAATAAACTCAAATAAATTGTGGTCATTTAGGACAGTCCGAAATGAGTCTGAATTAGTCTTTTAGAATATCCTAAATGCTCATTTGTGATATCCGAAATGAGCATTTGAGACATTATCTGAAATGCGCATTTGGGACATTATCCGAAACGTGCATTTGGGATATTGTCTGAAATGCGCATTTGGGGACAGCGAATATCCCAAACGACTTCGCATTTGGGATAGGATATCCCAATTGCGCATTCCGATTTGGGATATCCCAAATGCGCATTTCGGACATCAACGCATTTGGGATATAACATCACGACAGGACGTAAATTTACTAATAGAGGACAAACATGGTAAACAACTGCTTATTTCAATGTTCTTTATTTTTTTTTATTTATCTTTTATATTAATTAAAATTTCAATATCATAGATTGTAAGTTATTTAATATGAAACGTTATTTATTCAGTAAAAATTCTTTATTTAAAAAATATTATAAATATTTAATATTATAGATAGTGGGTTAATTTAACTGTTTTAATGTGTATGTGTAAATTTAAAATAACTAATTTTTTTATAACGATAATTATATTATCAACATAAAATAGACTGTAACGGTAAGTTATTTTTAATGATTAAGTTTTATTTTACATTTTATTTACAAGAATCTTTAATATCGCAGGAAGTAAGTTTTGTAGATACCGATCGATCATATATATTAGCAAAGCATTAAATATAAATGCAACTACAAATTTTTGTTCAAAAATTTAAATATTTAATATTAACTAATAATTTTTATATGCATCTAATTTTCTTTTTAATTATGGATCTATATTACAGATGGTAATTTATTTTATCGAGTCTTTAATATATACATACTGTATATACATGTTTTTACATTAATTCATTAACTTGAACAAATTTAAATTTATTTTATTTTAGAATGTAAGTTATTCTTAAGTATTTTGCACATATTAAATTATTTTTAACCATATTTTAAAATTATTATTGTAAAATGTATTTAATAATTACATTTAATTCTACATATTCTACAGATAGTAAGTTACTTTTTATTGAATTTATCATAATTTCACTAAATTAAATGTTTGTTTTATTTTGTTATATTGCTTAAAATATGATATATTTTAAATAACATTTTTAATTATTTTAATAATTAATAATATCTTAGCTGGTAAATTATGATTTTAAAAGTTAAACTACAGTTAAATTATATTTTATATTTACCAAACATTTTCTTTTAAAAATATTATAGTAAGTTTTGATTATAATTTATCTAAAGAAAATAATAGTAATGTAATATAATTTAGATAAAGATTATTTAGATAGTTTGTATATTAAAAAAGATTTTGAAAAGTTATTAAAAAATTAGCAGAAAATGAAAATAAATATGCACAAGTCAAATTAGGATTATTATATGATAAAGGTATAAAAATTTGAAAAAGATTCAGAAAAGGCATTTTATTAGTATCAAAAATCAGCAGAAAATAAAAATAAAAATGCATAATTCAAATTAGGATTATTTTATGAAAAGGTATAGGAATTAAAAAAGATATTAAAAAAGCATTTGAATAGCATCAAAAATTAGCAGAAAATAAAAATAAAGATGCACAATATAATTTAGCTAAATATTATGAATGTGATATTGAAATTAAAAAAGATTCAAAAAAGTGTTTTATTGGTATCAAAAATTAGCAGTAAATGAAAATGAAATTTTACAATTCAAATTAGGATTATTTTATGAAAAAGGTATAGAAATTTAACAAAATTTCCAGCAAGCATTTTATTGGTATCAAAATCAGCAGTAAAAAAAATAATATTTTAAGGATTATTTTATGAAGAAGGTATAGAAATTAATAAAAATTCAAAAAAGGCATTTTATTGGTATCAAAAATCAGTAGATAATGAAAATAAATACATATAATATAATTTAGCTAAATGTCATGAATGTAATATAGGAATTAAAAAAGATTTAGTAAAAGCATTTATTGGTATCAAAAATTAGCAGTAAGTGAAAATAAATATTCACAATTCAAATTAGAATTATTATATGCAAAAGGTATAGAAATTGAAGAAAATTTAGAGCAAGCAATTTATTGGTATCAAAGATCAATAGAAATTAAAAATACACAATATAATTTAACTAAATGTTATAAATATGATTTAGAATTTAAAAAAGATTCAGAAAATGTATTTCATTAGTATTAAGAATTAGCAGAAAATGAAAATATAGATACACAATTTAATTTAGGCAAATGGTATAAATATGCTATAGAAAAAATATTTTATTAGTATCAAAAATTAGTTAAAAATGAAAATAAAAATGAACAATATAATGTAGCTATATATTACGAATATGGTATAGGATTTAAAAAAGATTTAAAAAAAGCATTTTATTGGTATCAAAAATCAGCAATAAATGAAAATAAAATTGAAAGTATAATTTAGGCAATTATTATTATTATGGAATAAATATTAAAAAAGGTATTAATAAAGTATTTGAATGGTATAATAAATCAGCTGGGCAAGAATTTAGTAATACACAAAATGATTTAGGATATTTTTATGAAAAAGGTATAAATATAGATAAAAATTTAGAAAAAAATTTGATTGTATCAAAAATCAGCAGAAAATGGAAATAAAGATGCACAATATAATTTAGCTAAATTTTATGAATATGGTATAGGAATAAAAGAAAAATCAATAAATAATAGAAATAAGCCTGAAAAAAGTGTTGGAAAATGTGAAGTAGATAATAAAAGCAATTAACGATTCCCTAGAAAAGAAGGTTAAATTTATATCCTTTAATGAGTTAATTGATGCAGAATCACTTGATAAAGGAGGATTTGGAAGTATAATCAAAGCAACTTGGTTAAAAACAAATGACTATATTAACCAACACAGAAGCATTAAAATGCAATAAATTAAATGCATTTGTTAATGAATTAAAAGTGCATTTACGTCTTAATTATAGCAACCGAATTATTCGTTTCTTAGGTATTAGTCAAGGTAATAATATTAAAATTAAATTTTTTTTTTCCTTTAAAAAAAATCTTATTTTAAAATATTTACAGATCAAGTTTCTAAAGAATTTTTACTTGTATTGGAATATGCTAATGGTGGTAATCTTCAAAATTATCTTAAATATAAAAATAATTTAACTTGGAATGATAAGAAAAGGTTAGCGTTTCAAATTGCAGATGGATTGAATTACTTGCACAATGAGGAAGTCTTACATAGGGATCTTGTAATTAATTATTTATTATTTTATCAATAATTATATCTAGATATTAGTGCTTGATTTATTAATTATTTATATTTTACTTAGCATTCTAAAAATATAGTTATTCATGAAAATGATGCTAAAATCACAGATTTTGGTATTTCGAAAATTGAAAATAATTCTACTATGCATATTGAAACCTTTGGTAAAGTTGCCTACATGGAACCACAAATACTTGCAAATCCAAAATTTAAATACATTAAACCTTCCGATATTTATAGTTATGGTGTATTAATGTGGGAAATTTCTAGTGAATATCCTCCTTTAGAGATTACGATGAAAGTAAAATTTTATTCGCTATTATTAATAAAACTCGTGAAGGTGCTGTATCAAATACTCCTGAAGATTATGAAAAACTTTACAAAAAATGCTGGCGCCAGGAACCCAAGCAAAGACCAACTATTATAGAGATATTGGAAGCATTTTCAAATATGGGCTTTAGAAAAAGTATTAAAGATGAATCATCCGAAGGTATGTACTTGTATAAGTAATTAATATTTTTTTTATACTTTGATTTATTTTTATTGAGAGAGATATATATTTATAGAAAATGACGCAACGTCAAATAATTCTGATTCTGAATCACATGTCGACAATTTTTCATCAGAAAACATTCAAATTGATACTATTGTAGAATTATCTGGTATGTTTATCTATTTAGTTTTAAAACGTAAACTTCATGTATATTGATTTATATTCTTAACATTATAGTAATAGATTTTGAAAATAAAATATAAGGAATGTCTAAATTTTTTTCACTTTTAATTCATATAATTTAAATAGTTTAAGCGAGCACTGTATATTAGTTTAAAGCAGTTTGTAATCGCATAAATAAAATATTGTTTTTAATACAAATTGTAAAAACTACTACGCAAATGACAATTTGCACAAAATCGTTAAATTCGTATTTATCAATTTTGATATGTCAACATTAATACATTATGCGATAAATTAGATAAATAGTAATTATTACACTAATGAATATCGAAAGACCCTTAACCAACTAAATTGTTAATTAACGAGTTAGCGATCTTAAATGATCTCGCCAGCTAGTCATAAACTTACGGTACCTATTCGGGTACCTCTTCCGTTTTTTAATAAATCTTAAGAGTTTATGCTTCCATGAGATTATAAGTTACCTTTTTATCATTAATGAAGCCAACTGGAACTTATGGGATAAATACCAACCGGATGTTATCACTTATGGGCCAGGTATCCCTTCCATTTCTTCTATCGATTATCCTACGTCAATCGTTCATAAAGATTAAGCTCATTCTGTTTCACAAGAGATAGCTGATCTATACTAATAAATTAGTATTTTGTTCGTTCTCAATGCCCATAGTATTGAATCTACGAGATTAATATAGCAAACAAATACTTAAATCCTTAAAAGCCTATCCTAAAAGGAGATTTTACAACGATTAACATTTAGAAAAATTTGGAATTGTAGAATAGAACTTATTTAGGTTACAGGTCTTAGCTTTATTGTAAAATATGTGAATAATAAGGCCAACCCTAGTTACATATAATATAAACATGCTGTATGCATAGCGCACCCGCTGTAATTAATTAATTTATGTCTTTCGAATACATTTTAGAAATAAGGCAATATTTCTTTTGAATAAACTGTTATATTCGGTTTTAAAAAATGATTATTACTAAAATCAGAATCACGTGTGTAATTATCCATAGGTTGTGATCTGACTATTACAGAAATATCTAGTAGAATAACCGATAATCGATAACAGGTTATAAATAAAGGCAATATCGTACAAAGTTTGAATGTCAATATATTTTTAGACTTCGTTTCTCGCTAAATTGTTCAATTTAGTCAAGGACGAGCGCTAATAGGTTAGTATTTATAATGATGCAAAATCTATTTATGAGTTTGGCGATATTAATTTATTTCTTTGGAAATGCCGCTGTCATAACCAGATCATAATTTTTGTTTTTGTAATTTAAACAGCAATATATAATTTATGTACTTATTTATTACTTTAAAAAAAAAATAATTAGTTCTCAATAAATGAAAATCTAATATTTTTAATATCCTGTTGAATCAAGTGTGATAATAATAGACTCTGTTCGCGTTGGATTTAAATTAACTTAATAACTTTCTTCATTGAATAACCGAATTTATTCTGGATCGAAAATTAAACTATCATCGTTGCCACTCTAAATTAGTGCTTTTACCAAAAAGGAAGGTAGCAACCAAATTGCCATATTTGATGTCACACGAATACTCGAAAAATTCTTGTGATAATAAACAAAATATTACATGAATAAAATTAAAGATGGAATGTATAATTACAAAAAATGATTTACATGGTGTACTTTCATAATTTTCTCATTTCCACCCTTTGTTTCCGGTATCTATAGTAATGAGATAAGAGAGAGCAATTACGTGGTCACATTTGTAATGGACACCTTATTTCGGTAATATTTAATGTTATGAACATATGATACAAGAATGCAGTCACAACGGTCAACAAATTCCAATACATGACAATGGCAAACATATCTTTTGGATAAGAATATCCAATTTTTCGGTTATTTATTAAAATCTACATCAATCGATACATGATGTAACCATCGATAATGATATCAACCAAGGTCAAATTACTGAAATAAAATCGTTTTCGCTTTTTATTCCACCATAAAAAGAAAAGATCATGTGGATATACAAACTATTTCAAACGAAAAGAAAGAAAAATTTAAATTAATTGCAACTATGCGATGAATACATCATCATTTAATACCTACATGAAATCCTGCTCTGATCATAAGCAATCCAATGCTCATTCACATGTCAGAATTTCTTTCTCGTATTGTCTAATTAGTGTCAGCATGAAAGCGGTGTTAACCCGAATTTAAACCGAAACCAGGTTAACCAAACAACGATTAAATCTAACTAAGACCCGTCCTAAGAAAGATTTATACAACTATTTACTTTATACGATTCTTTGTGTAGTTGGTTATTAGTCAGTATATATGGAGACATGTTAAAGTTTGAAAGTGTAACTTGTAATTTTATTAACTCAAGATTTCGAACGTCTCTTCTCAAGACTCGTCAACCTTCTTCATTGAACAAGCGGATTTCGGGGTTTATATACAGAATTTATAAATATTAATTTAAAATAAATAAAATAACGAATATATCAAAAATAACAATTTATAAAGAAATTTAATATAAAAACGAAAACTAGTATAATTATTTAACGCATATAATTGATATAAATGACATTATCGATAATTTCAATACTTTTAATATTTTCACGCAGCTACTGCGTGATTCGTAAATGCTGATCTCTTGCATGAAGAAAATCTTAAAAAATGCTCTGTTAGCTAGACCACATACATTCTTCTAAAAGAGATCCCCGTAGTTTTTTCGCAAATATTATGATTAGTAATAGTGCGAAGTACTACCCCCCTTAGTTTTTTGCAAATATTATTATTATTAAATAGTGCGAAGTATTGCCCCCCGTAGTTTTTTGCAAATATTATGATTAGTAAATATGCAAAGTACTACACCAATAGCTTTTCGCAAATATTACGATTAGTACTATGCTAAAAACGTAAATATTGCGCAACCTTACGCCGTAAATTTTGCATAAGTTTACAAATATTTGCCATCTGGAAACCTAAAGGAAGTGAGAAAACTGCAAATTATAGCGGAGTATTAGCCTTACAACGAAAATATGATCATCTAGTGTCTTCTTTTAAATCTTAATTAAATTAATAAAAAAAATAAAAATATGATATTGAATTACTTAAGTAATAATTTATTAATTTTATTTATCCCAAATGAATAAAAGTTTAATGTTAATCCCCAAAATGTTTAGACGATCATCATGATGTTAGTATCGATTGCGGTGGTGTTAATTATGTCATTGCACTGCATAAATTTCAATAGATAACAAGAATATTCGATGCATCGCTTCTAAACATTCCATATCAGAAATTATTTTCCTAAATGTAATCATTAATTGAACTATAAAATGTCGTGAATAATTCATTATTCCAAATTCAATGTCACAAAATGGAACTTACGATTACAAATCCTTTTGACCCAACTCCAAAATTAAATTCCAGTACTATACCAATTACGTTTATTCCTTTTAAATACGATATATATAAATGTTATTGTGGAAATGCTTACACACAAACAGTTTTATTTTATCAAAAATATTGTAAATGTTGCTTGGCAAGGTATATCAGTAATATAACTGTAAATAATACGTATTTAGATGTACTCATACGGACATATAATGTTAAATGTAATAAACATGAAGCTAGAGATACAGATTTTCGCACCCAAAACATTCATGAATGGTGTGAAAATTGCTCCGATATTTTATATAAACAAGTATATTCTGGCAGATACGTTGGGAACCCAAACCTAAACCTTAAGGTTTGTGAATTGTGTGGAAATCAGAAGTATAATGGTCATTGTAAGACATGTTCAAATTGTTATAAAGTATCTTCTGGATGGGTAGAATCGATTTTGAATAAAAAGCTTGTTCCAATTCTGTATTTACCATGGTGGGATCAAGGTGTTAATTGTATAGATTGTAGAAATTTTCTAAAAATTGTAAATGATTGTCTCAAATGGTGTAAAAGCTGCCAAATAACTTATAATGGATGTAGATATTGTTTAACAACAAATATTATTTTTGGAATTACAGATCAATCTCAATGTATAAAATGCAAAAGAACAAAGCTTATTACTCTTGATGCATCACTTTTAAGCAATGAAACATCATTTATAAGCAGTGGAAACAGTAATATAGATGAGTTTATTCAAGATACAAAATATAATAGCCAGATTGTTAATAGTATTGCGAAACGTTCTAGTTCATCAAGTTTATATAAAGTTATTAAGGAAAACCCTATACTTTCACGTTCTGTATTTAAATGGATACCATTTTCTCAAATTCAAAATTTAGAACAAATAGCAAAAGGTGGTTTTGGTATAATTTATAAAGCAAATTATTTAGATGGTATACCTAATTATCGTAATCAATCTAAAAGAGATAAAGAAAAAACTACTATTGCGATAAAAAGGTTTTTAAATTCAAAAGATATCAGTAAGTATTTCTTAAATGAGGTAATTATTCAATGTTTTTATATTTGAAATTATTTTTATTAAATATTTAATTAATCTAAATCGTGTTCTTTTAGTTAAGTTTGCATCATCGTTGCTGTTCTGATCGTTACGTTAATCGTGTTATGAGATGTTATGGTATTACAAAGGATTCTGAAACAAATGATTATATGTTGGTGATGGATTATGCATCAGGAGGAGATTTACATAATTATTTACAAAGTAATTTTACAAATACAACATGGAATAAAATAAAATTAGGAATTTTATGGAACATTTTAGATGGGTATATATACATAATATTTATTGTTATTTGTTATTACATTATAAATTTAAATATTTTATTAACTTATTTTGAAATTAGGCTCGAAACTATTCACAACAAGGAACTCGTACATCGAGACATTCATAGTGGAAACATATTATTTGTTGAAAGTAATGGAATACGTTATCAATGGCAAATTGGAGATCTAGGATTATCACAACCTGCAAGTAGTACTCCATTAAATGATGAAATATATGGAGTAATTCCTTATATTGCGCCAGAAGTATTTAATGGCGCTTCATTTTCAAAAGAATCTGATGTTTATAGCTTGGCTATGGTTATGTGGGAACTCACAACAGGTTGTAAACCCTTTTCCAATATCGCACATGATCATAATCTAATTTATCATATTGTTAAAGGAAAACGACCTGAGATTACAAATGATACTCCTGAATGTTATGCTAATTTAATGAAACTTTGTTGGGATTCTGATCCTTCAATAAGACCTTCTATAAAATATATACGTAATACTGTTGGTATTTGGTATTATACGAAAAAATATGATGAATTATTTAATCAAGCTGAAAAAAAACGAAAAGAATTAATAAAATCAAAGAAAATTGGTCCTGAATTTACAGGAACACATCAAAAAGCGATCTATACAAGTAGAATATTAAATTCTTTAATTTCTAGATCATCATCTTTGAATTCATTAAATATTACACAAGGTATGTTTCATATATATTATTATTAATCTCAATATCATTATTCTAACCTTAATAATTATTTAGATGAGGAATCAAAAGATGAAGGTAATTTAATTAAAAAGTTGGCCTTTTTATGAAGGATTTTATTAATTTACATTTATTTATTTTAGAATATCTTAACAAAAGAATATGAGTTTGATTTAGATACTCGAAGGTACTCTAAATATTTTGAAAAATAATTTTCTTTAAAGAATTATTGTAAATTGACTCTTAATATTAACGTTTAGGTTAGTGATAAATGCAAATTCTACAATCCAGTATTCTTCGAATACTCAACAACAGAATGCAATTTCAACGCCAAAACCTTCTAAAAAACGAAAGAATAAAGAAATCGAAGCTAAAATTCAAGTTAATAGTAAGTAATAAAATTTTATTAGTTTATATTATTAAAATAAATATGTTTTAATTCATATTACATTCTAAAATTATTTAGAAAAGCAAATTAAGACTTCTAGTGAAAATACAAATATTCTTTAATTTTTGTTTTGAATTGATAATGCGGTCTCTGAATTTCAAGATTTATAGATTACAGTATATTATTTACAAAAAGTACATTATAAATTATTGTATTTAGAATACAATAAATTTATATTGTAACTTACAAATTTCAATAATTTTAAATATTTAATTATAAAATTCATTAAAATTTGAACGGTATTAAAAATACACATAAAATGTTAACTACAGACAAAGATTGTGTACTTCATATTTATAGTTTCTTTTCTCGGTCTTCTATTCATACGTAATGACTAAATTTATGTACTGTATGTAGTTGGAAAGTTAAACTTTTTTAATTAAATACAATCAATTGGATTGGTTATTTTGAAAATTCCTAAATTATTTTAAATGATTCTAAACGTCGACAATGGTTGTAAAGTTTCGATAGTTGATAGCTAATATCCGTTAAATCATTAATTTTAACGCTTCATATTAATATCTTACGATAATAACCCTAAAGTTAACATTTAATTAAATGAATAGTTTTTACTTCGATGCTATCTCGTGACAATTTTGGAAAGAAATTAAAATTTTTCGAGGAATATGTAAATGTATAATCCTCAAGTTTAGAAAATCATTTAATGACCATTTCCAAACAATATCTGGTTCCAAGATCTCATTGTAAAAAAAGATAGTACTTTTGAAAAGAAACATTTCATCATAACCAATCTTTTTTTTCATTTCTCTAAATTGAATTCTTATAATTTCCATATTCGTATTTCTGGTGCAACATTCTAATAGACGAACTTGAATTTTAAAGTTTTAATTTAACATCATAAGAATATTAAAGGATTTTAATTCCAACAATTGAATAATTTCCACGACAAATATTTTTATACTTAAAACGAAAAGTAAGAATTCTTTCATAAGGTAATACTTTTTTCAATGTTTGAAATGCGGGCGTCAATAAATTTCATTCTATTTTTAATATTAAGGTAATACAAGTGATGTATTTATTACCAATTTTCAATTTGATAGTTAATTAATCAAGCATGAAGACAAACAGTGTCAATGAATGGCTGTTTATTTTAGAAAGGGTTAAAAAATATTTTTACTTGTTGTTCCATAAAAGGAAAGGAAATGCAAATTTGAACGAATAATTTAAATTTTAAAAATAACGAAGGACAGTTCATAAATAACAATCCACTAATAAATAAACTATTTGAAACTTTTATGCTATAATAAATTTCATTAAAAACTAAAGTTGCGGAACACCCACAAACCGTGACTATTAAATTCGTATTTAAATGTCATTAACCTAAAGTACTTGGACATTTAGTTACATCATCTTTATCACAGTCGGGTTCTTAAGGCTGTTTTAGTGGACATTTAAGTTCAACGCAGTCGACTCTGGTTCTTTAGGTTCTTCTGGACTTCATTTTCAACGAAATCGGACTCGGTTGGTTGACATGTAGTTTCATCATCTCCAACACTTGTAGGTTCTGGCTCTTTCGGTTGGAGATTTAGGATCTTGTCTTGTCACTTTCGAAGAATGCTTATTGAACTCTTCCGTTCAAGAATTGGATGGGCATAAATAACGCAATAAGAACTATATTATTAAACAAAGTTGCTTACATAAGTCATCTTGAATATAATTGAAATTAAGAAGGAATTCTTTGTTTCGAAAACTACTCGAAAATTTTTTTAGAATCATTTTTATGCTTTGTGGGTTACCAAATTTGTTGTTACCCTCCATCGCTTTTTTGTATTACCTACCTGACTCGAGGTAAGACGAAAATCATTGTTTAACAAATAAAAAAATAATTAATTATCCCTTTTTAAGAATATAATGAAGTCAACCATTTTTATCTTTATTTTTTTAATTTTGTTCCCGTTACTTACTAAAAAGGGAAAATTAGAATACCGATGGCTTCAACTTGTTTTTCAATAACCCTTAAAACTCAACCTGAAAAGTTTAATTTTCGAAAACTTACTTCTATATTTTCAATCCCTCACTTTCATTTATTCAAATTCAGTGCGTTATTACAAGAAATAAAATTAATGACACTTCAATTAATATGAAAAAAAATGTTAGAAAATGTTATCGAAAATGTCCAAAACTGCTGTCCGGAATTGTTTCATGGATAGGAAAATTAATTAATTTTCTCGAAATCATAAATGAATAAATGTTAACCGTTTATTAATCCTCTAAGTAAATTTGCAGAGAGGAAAATACCTCTTAGGATATTATTGATTGAAAGTTCGTAAATAATTGTGCTATTTATCTATAACAATAACTAGTTTGATATTAGTAGGGTTGACTCAGAATTTCTTTTAAGGTCTGGTTGTGTGTTAAAAGAAAATCAGTAATCTTAGTTAGGGATGGTAACGGTCGGTCAAAGACCTTTGACCGACCGACCGGTTAACTGACCGATTTTAACTGACCAGTTGACCGACCGGTTAATAGTAATATAATTGAGCAGTTTTGGCTTAATAGTAAGTTTTAATTTAGCCAAATATTATAATTTTGATTCTTGCTTTAACAACTCTAGCATGGCATTTTTAATTCACTTTGTCATTTTTTAGTGGCGCAGCATTATCACAGACTTTATACTTTTTTCAAAATTTCAAAATTTTAATTTTAATTATAGATAATCATAATTTACTATTTAAAACATGGTTGTCAGTCTCGGAATCGGTCGGTCAACCGGTCGGTCAAAAGACTTTAACCGACCGATATCGGTCACGGTCATAATCGGTCATGACCGTGACCAGACCATTAGCATCCCTATATGACGGCATTGAGACGTTCTCTTACAGCCTTGTTTAGTGAAAGATCATTTCTCTTAAAATCATATAGGATAGTTTAACAAAGTCATGATGATTACTACTACATTTTACTGTTTGAGTATGTTTGAGTAACCAATCACATTTTGTACTCACAAGGTTGCACTCCTCAACAAATTCTCGCCAATATCCTTCCAAGTCGTCACGTTACTTTTGTACCTGTTGAGAGAAAGAAAATGATTGTTAGTGTGCAGAATTTATTTAGGATAAAGAAGTTACATAGCCAATTCCCCTTCATCAAGGATCAGCAGACTTTACCAACGACAAAATGAACAAAATTAATTGTTAAACAGGGCGCCCGTACAGAAAAAACTGGGGATGATTACCAGCAATCGCTGTACAGTAATTCTCGTAAGGGATCAATGATCCAATAGGAGTTACCCTTCCTCTTGCAAAATAAAAACAACTCACCTTATAAAATAAAGCTTCATAATTATTTTATCTAGCAACAAGTATGCTTTTATAAAGCGGTTGAACCAACAATGATCAAGGTTCTGCCAAGAAGTATTTGAGGAAGAACTAAGAACTACTTCTCGGTGACGGAAGAGGAAACCTTGAAAAGATTTAATTAGATTTTATTGTCCGAGAGGACAAAAAGTGTGAATACAACATTATGCAATGTCCACCCCATCGCGTGATTAACAAATGAATTTTATTGATGACATATCACGAAATGTAGTATTACGCGAAATAAGAATTTTTTATAAAAAATATTTATAATTAAATAAATTAAATAAAAATTTTTTTAAAAAAAAATTTTATTTGCTTTAGTTGAGATTATGACTTGCAGGAAATATAAGTTACTTTTCTTCATATTAAGTTATTTGTTCCTTATAATTGAAGCATTTACTCCTTTAGGACGTGTGGCTCATTCCTCTATCCTAGTTCAAAATAAACTTTATTTTTTTGGCGGAGCAATTGGTGGTGACACTTGCTCAAACGAAGTTTTTTATCTTGATTTATCTCAACAATTTAATGTAGAAATTCCGATATGGACCGACCTTACAATAAGTTCAGGATTAGGATTTAGAAGTTGCTGGGCAGCTGCTGCACTATCTAATAATGATAATAACCCGACTATTTACATAATTGGAGGAATAATGCAAAATCAAAATAATGAAGATTCATTTACTTCTTTTGTATGTGCATTTAATTTAAAATCCGGACAATGGTATATACCTGTAATGAAAGGAATAATACCAGAACGACGTAGAGAATTTCAAGTTGTTGCTGATGATTTTGGAAATATTTATGTTTTTGGTGATGCTGCCGATAAGTATTTAGGATCAAACATTGTTCAATTTTTAAATAATACGGCAATATTAAATACAAATGATTTAACTTGGTCTTATGGCCCTATTGTCAATGCACCCTTACCGCGAATTGGTTATACTGCGACAATATTATCAAGTGGTGTTATTGTATATATTGGAGGTCGTGAGCGTAATAATGATAACACTGTAAGTATAGTAGATATTAATCAACTTTACCTTTATGACACCAAGTTATCATCTTGGTTAGTAGTGGTACGTGCTTTTATTATATTATTATGAACTCCTTTGTGAAATTTAAATTTTAAATTTTATTTAATTTATTAAGCAAGCGAAAAGTAATGTTCAAATTGACTCTCGCTTTTTACACTCGGCTGTACTAGGTATATCAATATATTATTAGTTTCTGATACAAGAATTTATTTTTTAGACATTAGAAGTTATACTTGGGTTGATAAATTTGAACTCGAACCTGCACCGCAATCAAAATCTCCAATTATAACTTCTGAAAATTCAGAAAATAAATTAAGTAAAAAAATGAAAATTATAATAGGTACTATAAGTGGAATTGTCGGTGTCACGATCCTTTTGGTAATTGGAATTATAAGTTATAAACGGTATCAAAATCAAAAAAGAAATCATGATAGTAACATTATGAGGATTTCAGGCAATTTTTCAATTTTAAATGGTTAAAATCATAAATAATTTGATAGATTTAAATTATTCATATTTCTTTATATATCCAATGATTTTAGATACCCAGATTATCAAGCTCCTTTTGTCAGGTGAATTTATAGTATATTTACATGTAATTTCTTAATCAAAAGCTTAAATGAAAAAAAAAAAATATAATTTTAATAAATTGAAATAAATTAATAAATATTACTTTTTAAAAGAGCAGAATAATTTAATAATAAATTCAGTTGATTGAGTAAATTCAAATTTAATGAAAGCGGCTTTAAAAGTTTAAAAAATTTTTTTTTTTGATGCAATTATGAATTTGACGTTATCTTTCGAATCTGGTTATTTCTTACATTTTTTGTGCGATCCTAATGATTAAGTAATTCGACTTTAGTAACATTTTCTTTCTAAAGTGCATTTGCAGAATACTATTTTTCATTCTTGAAGCAGAGTTAACTATTTACAATAAGGTCGCCTAATATATAATTTTATTCTTGCCTCATTGACAATATTTCGTCTTTTTCTTATATGAACACATCATAAAGTTTTAGTACCTCAGTTATACGTCATCTGATTACTTCATTATTTGTATCTGAACATTCATAAAATGGTAAACCCTTTACCTAGTTTCAATGGTGGATTAAATGATTGATATTCTAAGCATCAATCATAAAAGAATCTTTTTAACGTGAAAGTACTCCGTTATAGCCCACCCGTATATGATTTAAATTTAATTTTATAAATTCCAAACAAACCAACCATTTTTAAACTCAATTTAAAGCAAATGAATTTTTTTTTTGTTTTGCCAATGTAAAATCTGAAGAATTTACCCAAAAGTAACCTACAAAAAAATAAATAATAAAAAATAAAAAAATATTAAAAATACCACAGGCAGGCCTTCTTAACCATAAATAAAAAAATAATAATAAAAATAAATATAAAGACATCAAATCCACAACAAAATAAAAAAAAAAATTTATATTACTAAATATACAAAATAAAATAATAATAATAAATAAAAAAAAAGACATACCACAGCCTATCATATTAGTATCTAAAAAAAGATTTCACAAATCTTACAAAAAAAAATATAAAAAGAATTAGTTTATTTGTTGTATAAAAACTAGATTAGGTTTGATGGCAACTTCGCTGCCGCCAGTTGTTAGCTATATTAAATTTAATTCCGCTCAGAAACACCATAAATTCGCATGTAAATTGTATTCGATATTTGCAGTTAGTCCTTTGAAGTTCATTTTGACAGGTGACAGGTTGTCTCGATGTCAGGCTGTCCTAATAATTATTTTATTTTACAAATATGAGATGGAAATCTGAATATACTACGCTCGCCCCTTGTATTTGCATACATAATCTTAAAAAACCTTCCATTATCCCTTCGAGATATTTTCGCTTTCGCCGTTTTAACATTTAAAATTCATATTTGTGATTTCGTTTATTTTTATTTTCCGATTTTTCTTATTATTTTATTACCAAATTTTTCGTAATTTATATGAAAAATCTAGAACCAAAGACAAAAAAGTATTGGTGCTCGCATTGACGCACGCATTGTCGCACAAAATGATCAGACTTAATAATAAAAAAAGTTGCGAATTTAATTAAATTTCTTCAATTATTAAAATAAAATTGTTGCTTTATTTATTTATTCTTTATTTTTTATTTTGCATATAGGAATTAGGCGATTTTAACAGAAAAGTTGCTATTACTATCAAAAACCTTTCGCCACAAGTAACTCTGGAGTATCCGGTAGTTTATATTGAATCAGAAACGTTAAATTATGGGCTTCCTATGAATCAACTAACGAGTGATAAGGGTTAGTTTGGGGTGCTCATAAGATTTCTGGCTTTACCGGAGGAACTGTAGGGGTTATTGTATACTATCTTAAAGATCGTAATGAATCTTTGGCCTTCATGTGGAGCGTCCCATTTAACTACGGTTTTTAAGGTGTGTCAGAGCTAACAAAGGTAAGATTGATCTCCAAGCTTTACTTATCCAAACTTATCATCACGATATTTATCTTGTGTCATTGTTCTAGAATTATATGAAAGGATTATCATGACCTTCCCCATGAAGGTGACAATAATATCTATCGCGGAATTCTAAATTCTGATCTTCTATACTCGGGATCCATGGGAACTCTGGCACCACTATTTAAGTTGAGATTCTAAATTATAAAACTATTAGTACAGCTTCTTCCGCTTCTTTCAGCGAAAAAAAGTTGATAAAAACATTTCTAAGTTTATGATGTAAATTCATTCGAGTTTTGGATTATCCTTAACCTTTTTTTAAAAACAAAAAAGTTATTGTTTGCTCTTTTAGGAAATTTTAAAATATTACGAAAAGTCACGTGAACAGTTATCATTTACTTAAAGTTGCGAGACCATTGTTAGGAAAATCAGGCACGGGGAATTTTTTAACAAAATTTTAATTTTTAGTTTTTGATGTTATTATAAATTTAATCTCTTATTTATAAAAGTATTTAACATTACAGGATGTAAGTTATTCTTAACAAGAAATTGATACCGAAATATATATTAGCAACATTTAAATCAACTAAATTTTTATTTTAAATATAAAAATGTTTAATGATAATATTGTAGGGAGTAAGTTGTTTTATCATTTTATTAATATTTTATATTAAATTAAATGCAACTAATTATCTATTTATTATTTGATAAATTGCAGAAAGTAAATATATTTTTATCGGTTTTTAATTATTTTAATTCATTAAAATTAAAATTTACTTAAACTAAATTAAATATGTTAATTTTAGATTAAATTTACTAAATTTTTTGCTTTTAAAATTATTTTATAATTACATTGCAGCTAATTAGTTATTTTTTTTTTCTTTATTAATATTTATAATAAATTTATTAATATTTTGTTATAATTAATAATTTTTTTTTTCTAATTAATCTATTCATTTTTATATTTGTTTTATTTTAATTTACATTTATGAATTTATTTGAAAAAATATTTAATATTGAACAAACCAATTTCTTGTACTCACAGCATAAGATGGAAATAATTAAGAATAATCACAATATTAAAGAAAGAAAATATAATTCACATAAAAATTATTGCATGATTTCTTCAAACTTGTCAACCATCCTTGCTGGCAACAAGAATTTATTTACTAGAGGGTATACATTTTTCAAATGTAATTTATCATTTAATTCATTTCACTCAAAGATGGTTAAATTTCTCATTAATTATATTATTTAACTTCAATTATTTTTATTAATTCTAATTTGATATAGACAAATATAATATAAATATAAAAGTAATCTATTTATCTCTATAATAATTCTCTATTCTCTCTACCAAATTGTGCTCAAGAGTGAATGCTAGAGCATATGACCATTTTTCCTGGTTGAATCACCAGAACCTCTCTTCTCAATTCTCATTTCAACAACTTCAACTCCCTCATCCTTAGTGCTATTCTCACATGTAGCTGTAAGTTCTTCTTTAATTTGATCAGGACTGCCAAAATATTGGTTTTAAGTTGCTTATCTATTAGATAAGCTTTGATATAAGTCAAGTAAATATTTGCAATTTTAGTCCAACATTCACTGCAATTCAAATTCTTTAGAATTTCTTTGGTAGATCCATCAGATAGAAATAAGATCTTCTCAACAAGAGATATAGCAATATTTGTATCTCTATTACTTTCTTTCTTAGTGAATTCAAATACATTTTGAACAATTCAATATAACAAGATCTTATTAAAAAAAAGTTTCAAAATATCATTAGCACTCGTAATTATTTTAACATTATATATATATATATTTATTTAAAGTATTTCTATGTATCTCTTTATCATTCTTGAGATAAGTGGCTTCATGATATGAAATACTACTATAATAAGTGATAAATATACCGTTGTGACGGGTAAAATTTTAGATAGATTTAATTGGTAGAATATGAAGTCAATTTTATTGCCATGTAGATCTTCTATGAAGATCATTTTGTCCATTTTATTGCCGTCGATCAATTATGTAA